TAACTAAGTTTCGGGAGTTTTTAGGATAACTGGAGTTTTTACTAGTGTGAGGTAGCAGTGTGTGCTGATCTACGGTGTATGCACAGCTTCCTGTGAGGGAAGCACCTGTTTTGGATAAAACCATGATTAAGTGATTTAAACCACTTTAAAGTACATGTAAGGTGGATTTAAAAACAATCAAATTCTACTGGACTAGTTGATAGAAATGGCTGGCGTGTGTTTTGTCAGTGTTTGATGTGGTGATTGTGTCAAATTGTTATGTGGCAGATTATGATCTCCTCCGTATTATGGCTGTGGTTTCTATCCTAACACTACGAAACATTTTTTTGTTGTGTCAGTGAATTACTTAGTACACTGCCACAATGCGTCGTGGAAGCTCCAGTTTTAATTATGCGGATTATGTCTTCAGAGTTAGGTGAGTAAGATAATGTATTCTTGTCCAATCTTCTTCCTGGTGATTTTTTTCTTTCTTCATTGATTCGTTATAAAAAAATCCCCCCTATTGTTTGGTACTTTCACAGGTATTGATTTTGCAAAATTTCATGAAATTTTAATTGAGCGTGGACGTGGATTTGATTGCATGTAAGCCATAGCTTCAGGTAATCAGAGCAGTAAACAGCCTATCTGGATTTTTCACCTGGAACATAAAAAAAATATTATAACATAGGATTTGAAATAATTTTCAAACAATGATCTGATGAAATTTTCGTTGATGTGACTTCAAATTCTTCAGATATAACATTGCTGTAATAGATTTAATTCATGTTGACTTGATCTGAAGTTTGTGTTTGTAAGGCACATGACAATTTCTAGAGGATCGACTTGGGTATGTTATAGTGACACCTGCCTTTATCCAAAATAATGCTATCATACCATTTCTAATGAAAACTTAACTTAATCAGACCTGTGTATTCTGACTAAATCAGACCTGTGTATTCTGATTAAATCAGACCTGTGTATTCTGACTAAATCAGACATGTGTATTCTGACTTACTGTCTAATCTGACCTATATGTTTTCTACCACAGAATGTCAGAATAGACGGGTTTTAATGTACAAAGAGCAGCACTTTCTGTTCTTTTTTCAGATAAACATGATTTTGTTTGTATGTAACAGTCATCTTGATGTCAAATTATTTTCTATGGTATATGATGTTAAGGCAAAAATGAAGAAGGTCCAGAAACCTTATCTGGTTATCAGGTTCCTGTCACACCGAGTGTTATTGATCAGATTTGTTTATTGATGTACCTTTATAATGCCAATATTTGCAGGACATTTTATGGTTAACCTGTTCATGTGTGTCGATAACCTATTTGATAGAATCTGGTTGTCATAGTAACGATTTACAAATTAACCACATGTTCATAATTTGAATACAAGTGTGAATATTGGTGACCTCTAAAATAATTTCAATATGTCAAAACTGTTGAACTGTTTTGATTGAATTTTATCTCATTATTCTGAATTTGAATTGCATTGATGCGGAAACATAAAAGAATATGATCAAAATATCTCGAACATTTATTTTGAAAGAAAAACAAGCTTTAGTTATGCAGACAATCTAGGGTACACTTTGATCTGATACGATTATCATATAAAAACAGTGTTGGATTATCAAATGAAGATTATCTGCATAATTCGATCAAATTCGACGTCGGTATGATGTCAATGTGTGGTTAGTCACATGCTGTTTTAAGATATCCTATATAGAATGCAATGTGAGATATGATTTAAAAGGAACAAATTAATGTAATTTTACGATTGGAATGCCTTAACACGATTTACCTTTTTTGTCAGTTTATATTTCACTGCAAATATTGATTTAAATTTTTATTTTGTCGCAGTAGAAATTTAAGTACCAGTAAATCTGTGTGGTTTTCAAAGGTCAACATGCCCTATAAACTATAATTACTTCGCTTCGGTAGGTTTCTTTGTACGCTGGCCAAAATTTCTTATCAGCCGTCTTAATCTTAAAGGGAAATTTCTTCATTAATTTCACACAATACAGGTTCTGTTAGATTTGATCGAAACAGGTCAAAGGATAAGATCTCCCATCTTATACACGAGTAATCGCTATTTTGCATATTTATGTTGATATCAGTGATTTAATATTGTGCCGACAATACTTCAAAGTTATGTTAATTTCGCTTTCTTTTGGGTGGTAAATCAAATCTCGCCCCAGCAATGTTTTATCAGAGATTATGTTTATAAACTGCCACCTACAACGTACCACCTGTGAAAAGAGTTGCATTCTTCTGTGAAAAAGCATGATTTGATTGACATACATTATTTGTATAACAGTGAAAGGCAGTTTTATTGATATTTCAATTTGATTGTGGCATTCTAATTTGTTTGAAAATTGAATCTATTCCTTTCATTTTGTTGAAATGATTTATCAAGAACCTTTTTATAAAAGAATAATTTTTGTTTCGGTTTTAATGAAATTTAATTAACATGTATTATATATTTTAACATATCTAGGAGGCCTAGCTTGATTTCTTGTAAATTGATTAGACTTTTTTTGGTTTGATATATTTTCTGTCAGAGAAAAATGTACAGGACTTTGTTATTGAACTACAATCATGTTAATAATTTGTTTGGGCTTAAGGGTTAGTGTTTTGAAGTCGTTTGAACTTGATGCAGCCTCAGTCTAGAAATTAACTCAACAAAGCCTCATTCTGGTCTTCAAAATATAAACCTTGTTGTTGAAATTCCTTGCCTCAACACACAGGAATTGTAGATTCTATTTCTCTGCAACGTTATAACATTTTCATTACTGATTAATCTTTAGCCCATGAAAAAGATGCATTATATATGCTGTTATTCTTGAACCCATGAAACACTTGTTGTAGATTCTGTTTCTCTAAAGTTCTTGAAAATTACACTTGATAGACTCTATAATACTCTTGAACCTGACTAAACACAGGTGTCATAGATTCTATTACTCCCATGGCCTATTATGAAGTTTGACATCTTATCAAAATCAATCTGAAGGCTATGAGCAGAAAGAAGGCTTTTTGTGTCTTCGACGTTAACTTTGGTCACTCTAATTCTGCTAGGTGTCTTAAAGTTCGTTTGACGTGGACAAATAACTTCAACTTTTTGAACTGAACAAAAATAAGGTGTACCTGTGCAGGATTTGTTTTGTTGGGCTGTCATAGATACTGTCATTTTTGACGAGGGTTCCATGCTGGGGAGGACTTGAAACTAAAGGATTATTTCATCACATGACATTGTGTTCCGGCTGTCTAAACAATAGCAATCAGGGTTACCTTTCCTTGTATGAGGCTATGGTAGCCAGGTGTCATGTATGGTTGCTTGATCGATTAGAAAAAATCAGCCGCAAAGATCTGATACGAATTTGAACTTGTCAACAAATATAACTGTCTATGATGTATGGTACATGTCACCTTTGTCTGACTTCGTGCAGATGAATTAACTAATGGTATCATTTAAAATACGAGGCTTGACATGTTTTGTTCCCCTCGTAAAAGCCTGCAGTATGTGCACTCCTTAAGCCCTGTCAGGTACATGTAAAAAAGATTGATCTGTTTTTTATATGTTCTTGGTATATCAGAGCTACTATGGGGTGTGTAGGTAACAATATCAGAAGTAAACACGGGCGTGTCAGGTTGATTTGGTAAATATTTTGGAATGTGAGGTGATAAGCCGTAAGGAAAGATAGGATTGAATATTTATAAAGAATTTTTTACTTTTTTTTTTAGTTTTGTGTCTCCTCAAAAGTTTATGGTCATAAGGTGACAGAATTATAATTAAATATAGTTAATAGATAATATAATTATAGAAAATATGATGAATATGGAAAATCGGAACGAATGGGGGTGGACGGTCTTGGGGTTCAAGGAGCCCATGTCCCTTAGGGGTTCTTTATTTTGATAAAGGTCCTGTTAAATTCTTAGTCTAAAAACTTTTGTTTCCCAAAATATGCTTTTAAATTATATATTTCAGGATGGTGAGAATAAGATTTTCAAGAACCAAAATTAATGATTTCCTGGTTATCATAAAAAAATTCATCACGAAACCCCTCAAATATTGGTCAACGTGACCTATATTTTCTGCATCACTGACTTTTGTCAGACTTTGTGTTATTCTCCGTTTCTGTGGTAAGATTTTGTGTTTAGCTCCATTTCAATCAAAGCTGGAGTTGGGCATACGTATGTCGGGCATATTTAAATATTCCAGTGTGATGTATCCTCAAGCGGTTTAATAAGAGCCTTTTTGAGACAGATCAAACGTTATGATATGAACCATAAACATGTGTTTGTTGTTTAGATAGATTGTGTATGCTGTCTGCTTAGTATCTTTGGTCTATAAAGACAAGACACATGTTGCGTATAGCTGTGATGTCATAGTATCATATTTATCCTACAATAAGCCCAGGGGGCAAACACAAACTCTAAATGAGGTGGGCTTATTATCAGGCATGGGCTTATTACCAGGCATGGGCTTATTACCAGGCATGGGCTTATTACCAGATACATAGGTTATCTTTACAAGGTTGATTACGATCATCAATGAGCACATTTCAGAAAATCTTTAGATATGATAGGGATAGATCAGGAATATGATTATTCCTAATAAATCAAAATATGATCATAACTGTACTGGTGGTTTGTCATAATAGATATCTCTGTTCAAGATGAATGACAAATTGACAATTTTATGGACAAAATGAAGGAAAGGAATTAGATTAGTTGAAGGTTTTGATCTAATCTTTTACTGGTATTAAGTGAGGACTTCAATAACTTTTAGAAAATGAGTTACTCCAGACATATGTTTTGCCATTGAACGCGCCTTGGAAATGATTGGCAGAATCATAATTACATCAATCAAGACAGCCAAGACAATCGTTGATATTTGATTTGTAGTGAGATCATCAAACATGTTATAATCTTGACTTAAATTGATCCATATTTTTCGTTTTATCAAGAATTATCTTTGTTATTTTGTACAGTTTGGAAATCTGTTGTGTCTTTGCAGGGGATCTCCAAAGTTGGAACCAAACGTTAGCATTTTAAGAACGTCATCATTTCTACAAAGAGCTCGTGAATTACAAGAGCTTGAGAGAAACAGACTAGGAACACAGGATGATACAATCATACCGAAGGAGACAACCAACAGAGCTGCTGTGAAACCTCGTCAACGTCGGATAGAAAGCTTTCAGTAAGTTTAAAATATGTGACCTCTGTTTTTTTGCAGATTATAAATTGCTTGTGCAACACACAAACTTATATTAATTTCAACAATGTCTACACAAATATTTTCTCTGTGAAATGGAGATGCCATTTTTAATTAAAAAATTTGAAGTATGTAAATGCTTTATTTATGCATACTTAACAGATTTTAGGGAGAAATATTAAAATGGATAAAAAGTACTCGAAATTACTCTGTTGGACAAATCATGATGAAAAATTTCATAATAATATAAGACCAATCGATGCCCAGGAGAAAATCCCACTGAAGGATGGTTCAAATTTGGTAAAACTTGAGGCTTGCCGAGAATTTTGCACCAATTTGAAATGCTGCGGATGTAATTTCCCTGTCCTACGCGCCTGGGTTTGAATGGGTATCTTTCTCTCATTCCAATTATCTCCAGAATTACCTCAGAAACCTGAAAAGGCATAGCAATGTCTGCACTGCAGTAGCGGCATGTTCTTTATATTGTGACGTCACATCATTATTGTCTCTTGGTGATGTCACGCACGTGAAATGCGTAGCAAGATAGAAAGTTCTTACACACTTTCCTTACAATGGCCAGTTCTTCACTACACACAGGAATAGTTTTTGTTTGCACTGCATTAACTGAATAAATAAATCAAAATAGGGAACCTGAAAATTGAATTTTAAAGCAGATGTAAATTATAAATGCTAACTAACAAATTATGCTTGACAGCCTTCTTGTAAATTGGCTAAATTGGTTGCATTGGGTGTTGATCTCCTGTTAAGTGCAGTAAATAAATTATAAACAAGGTTCCAGTACGAGTTTTGAAACTAGTTCCTGGATTTTGTATCTTTGAAGATTTATGATGTATCAGTACACTTAATGTTCACTAATTGATAATGTCTAGCAAGACGTATAGCTGTCCAGGCCAAAATTGATAAAGAGGTGCCAAAACACAATTCTGTACATAAAAAAGGCTAGCAGTTTACTCAATCGGAAACAAATTCATTGATCCATGTCTGGGTTCACTTGATGCAAACAATTGTAAGTGACATCTTATTTTTTCATGGATTGATGAAATTGATGGCTTCTGTGATAGAATTGATTGAGCGACCAACAATAATGTCTATTTCAAGGTCACAGGCGTCTGTTTCCAAGGTCACAGATTGTTGACTTTGTTGATTACAGTTAATTGGTTGTAGGGTCAGACCATTGTAGTTTTAAAAGGTTGAAGGTCAGGCTAAGGAAATGGAAAATGTCTATGTTGATTTATCATTATTCTGCTTGGTAGCTAATTGATATCAATATTTGAATTGCATTAAGTTTCTGTGGGTGAAATACACTAGTCAGAGTTTTACTTAAGGCATTGTATGCTCTCTGAAAATGTTTGTATAGTATTAAAAATAAATAATTTCTGAATGTTTAAAAGACATTTTTGTAGAATTTTAATGCTGTATGATCATTATCATAACTTACCACATGTAATTTTTAGGAATGAATTGAAAATAAAATCAAGATAGAACTTATCAATAAGTACTGTCAGAATTGTTAGCTTTTGTTGATGAAAAATCTTTGTTAGTTTATAAAATGAACAATAATCTAAACTTTATTTTTTTTCCGATTTTCTTTTATTAAATGTCGAAATATTTTATCTCTATGTTTGAATCTTCAGATGACCATATTAATTCATTTCACTTTTTTTTGTGTGTGAATTCTGATATTTTAGTTACATTTTACATTTGTGTTAATTCAATGTTAAGCTGATTATACTTTGAAGAATTTGGTTCAATTCTAACTTTGACAAGCTTACTATTTCATGGTCTACTGTACATTGGATAGGTAATATTTCGTGAAGGTTTTGAGCATTAGTTCTTCATAATTGGCTGCTGAATGAATTTAGCAGGTGCCTTAAATTGCCCGACATTTGGCATCAGTATGTCATCAACAAATTTTTTAATATTTCACTTTTTTCTTCAACTGTGATTTCATGAGCAAGTTCGTACCTGCACTCATGAAAATCCTAACATAGGTTTTACTTATGAGTAATAAAGAATAAGTATTTTGTTACTTTAAAGTACAGAATAATTGGCTTCAATAATGGCAATTTAATTTGTTGTGGCAGAAATTTATATATGTATTTTGTATACAAAATGGTAGAATTTTTTCATTCATGGTTTTCTATATGAATAATTGGTCTCAAATTTTGTTGGGCATACAAAATAAGGTATGGCATTTCTTCCTTTGTTGTGGAAAATCCGTTAAAAATCTATTCAAAATCTCGGAGATAGAATGACGCCATGCATCAAAGATCAAAAGGGAACATTCTTAGTTAGCAATAAATACAACAAAAGTGCACAGTGTTTATAGGACGGAATTATATATCATCAACTGTTCGTTTACAAATGTTCCGATTTCAACAAACTCCGAGTTTAAATGGGCATGAAATTTTCGACTTTGGTTTCATATGACTGAGTTGTGTTTTTCCAATTTTCTCTGAATGAATAACATTTGAAGTTTTATGGGTAGTCTGTTTTGTTTCATCAGAATTAAAAATTCTTTTTATTTGAATGGGTAGAAAAAAATATGCATTGCCCTGGCATGCATAAGTAATTCAAAGGAATTGGAATTGCAAAAAGCATGCAATGTGGGTTCTATGGTCCATTTCCTAGCCATTGTTTTGACAGATAAATGCATATCTGCAGACGTCTGTTACCACAACGGGGGTTTAAAGGTGAAGATTTCAACATTTCCAGCACAGGTCTGAAGAATGACACTCAGACAGCATTGTGCACTGTTCTTTAGACAATTATATCGAAATATTCACACCTCGTGTTGAAAGCCAAGGCAGATACAAAAAAGGAATCACAATTATACACATGTTTTCATGGACGACAAACCACCTAAAGATTGGTAAGGGGTCTTGTCAAAACAGCTCAAGTTGGTTTGGAAAATTGACAGCATTTTGTTTTACGGTCATGTCAAACAAGTCATTATTGCGAAATTTAATTGAATACATGGAAAATTCTTGGCCTTGGAAGTCAACGATTTTCTTTGCTAGCGGCTAAACCACATCATAAAACAAAGAGATATTGTTCCAATCATTGTTTTGTTGTACGTTACAAGATTATCCTTGTACCTAAGGAGATAATGGCCGTCGTTTTGGTGTCGTCCCATTCATGGTACACGTGATGAGCATCAGCGATGTGTATTATGATTTTCTTCCATTATTTTTTTAGATGAATAATGAATAATACAGCAATCTTTACATCTGGATTTGTGGTGGTATTTTCTCAAATGTCTGAGCAACTATTGTTCCGATATTCAAGACTATTGTTATTTCAGTCTTTTGTTTCAAGATATAAAATTATCAGTATGTTGCATAAGATCTATGTTTAGAATGATCTCCATGGGTTAAATAGCTGTTCAAGACTAATGTGATACGGTTCATAATTCACAAACAGAGTAGATATAGAGGTATTTAGGTGTCCGTGGGACACATATTGAGTACTTTTGTCGTCTGCTTCAAAATAATTGTTATGATAAGTACAATATTAATACAGTGTGGTTTATAGAAAATCTGATAAAAAAAACCTCCAGCAATAATCCCATGCGTGGAAATAAACCCATCTAAATCTATTGTAGTTTTGTAGAAAAGCCAACAAATACTATTCCATTGTCTTATTATAAAACAATCACTTACTTTGAGCGAGAGATTATGTGTCGGCCACCTGGGCTTATTTCAGGATACAGTAGTGTATTTATGGTAAATGAAAAAATATTGATAGGACATAGTAAAAGTTTGTGCTTCTAGACGGCCGATATACACGTATTCAAGTCTGGAAGTGATTTCAAGGTTAAAGTTTGTAATTTAATAAAATATTTTAGGAAAAATGAATTATATTGCGCCGTGTGTTGAATTACAAATTTTGACATCTGTTCTGCATTAAAAGTTGCTGTGAACAACATCAGTATGGAATGATGTTACGGAATATAAACTGATGAATCACGAAAGTTTTTTTTATGAAAATCACATCTTTGAAGGAAACTTTGTTAAAGTTTAACTTTGTCAGGTTGGATTTTGTCTAAATCTTTCATTCAAATGAATTAACAATAATATTTATAGAGTTCATATTACATCCCTCTTGCCCAAGGGAATATAGGATTATTATCCAAATCGAAGCCAATATTATGGATTATCTCAATTACGATAATTTAGATATATACCGACTTTTAAATGTAAGAATTAAGGTGGAGTCATTGAAAAATTACTTCAATTTGATCTTTCTCAGTATTGAAATCTCCAGACCTGAATTGATCTTTAAGGTGAAGAGCGTCACAGCACCCTGTGTAAATATCTCCAACAAAGAAGAGTTCCAATTTGACAATTTTCTGACTTGGAGTTGCTTGCCCATTTACTATATAGCAATGCCTTATAGACAAAAGAGATGTGTTTGTAATAATTTACTTTTTCACATTAAACATCTGATCCTTGGGGATTCAATCCCTGGACCTTTTGATTATTGGCACAGAGCATGTTCAGCTAAACCACTGTACTGCTGGTCCTCATATTTATTATGTTTGATGCTTTTCTGCAACATTATTATATATAGAAATGAAAGGCTGGCATTTTATAATTGTCTTTATATGACTCAGAGGAAATGACATTAATTAGATAAGAAAATAACTTTTCAAGGCCTGCAAAGGTAAAATGTAGTGGGACTCCATATAAAGTTCAGTTTCTTAACTGTTAGGAATTCTTAATTGTTAGGAAATTTTACAAGTTTTGCTCATTGACACTCGAGGTGTCCTTGTTAGAGCAAATCAACATAATGATGATCCCCAAATGTGACAGGATATTATCTTTGTGAATGAAGCCCACGGTGACATGATGATAATAATCTCTGCATGAGACATTAGCTCTGAACTTTGGTCCTGTCTGTTTCAATGAGCACAGGTAATCAGAATTTTACAAATATGAATGATTAGTAACCCATTATGTACG